TCAGCCACTCCTCCCAGTTTAGTATCATCAGCAAACTTGCTGAGGGTGCACTCTGTCCCTTCCTCCAGGTCATTGATGAATACACTGAACAAGACTGGACCCAGGACTGACCCCTGGGGGACACTGCTAGCTACAGGCCTCCAACTGGACTCTGTGCCGCTGCCCACAACCCTCGGAGCTCTGTCGTCCAGCCAGTTCTCATTCCACCTCACTGTCCGCTCATCCAACCCACGCTTCCTGAGTTTCCCTATGAGGATGTGATGGGAGACAGTGTCAAAAGCCTTGCTGAAGACCAGGGAGACAACATCCCCTGCTCTGCCCTCCTCTACCCAGCCAGTCATTCCATCAGAGAAGGCTATCAGGTTGGTCAAGCATGATTTCCCTTTGGTGAATCCATGCTGACTACTCCTGACCACCTTCTTGTCCTCCAGATGCTTAGTGATGACCTTCAGGAGGAGCTGTTCCATCACCTTTCCAGGGATGGAGGTGAGCCTGACAGGCCTGTAGTTCCCTGGGTCCTCCTTCTTGCCCTTTTTGAAGACTGGGGTGACATTGGCTTTCTCCCAGTCCTGAGGCCCCTCTCCTGTTCTCCAGGACCTTTCCAAGATGATGGAGAGCGGCCTAGCAATGATGTCTGCCAGCTCCCTCAGCACTTGTGGGTGCATCCCATCGGGGCCCATGGACTTGTGGCTGTCAGGTCTGCCCAAACGATCTCTAACCTGATCCTCCTTGACCAGGGGAAAATCTTCCTTTCTCCAGCCTTCCTCTCTTGTCTCCAAGGTCTGGAATTCCTGAGGGCTGGCCTTAGCAGTGAAGACTGAAGCAAGGCATTCAGTATCTCTGTCTTCTCTGTGCCCTTTGTATCCAGGGCACCTGCCCCATTCAGCAGCGGGCCCACATTTTCCCTAGTCTTCCTTTTGCTATTGAGGAAGAACCCCTTCTTGTTGTCCTTGACGTCCCTTGCCAGATTGAGTTCCAGATGGGTCTTAGCCTTCCTTATCGCATCCTTGCACACTCTGACAATGTCCCTGTATTCCTCCCAAGCACCACTTCCTATGTTAACTGGTATTCTGTAAACTGAGTTGCCTTCAGATACTTTTAAGTCTGAAAAAGTTTTCTGGCAAAACATAATTTAACTACTAGTTATTTACAAGGTGGTCAGTATAAGTCTGCTGCATACATAGGGTTTATTTATTTGTTAGAGTTTTCAGTAGGTGACTGCAGGAGAAACGTGTGTTATTTTGTATTCCATCTCTAAATAGAACGTATGTCCAGTAATTAGTAAATTACTGTTTTCTGATTTATTTTTAGATGCTTGCTTTAAGTAATGTTACTGTGCATCACCCACTTATCACTGCATCAGATCTTCATGAGGCAAGCAAGCAGTATAGAATGGACTCAAAAGCAAATATTGTACATGGTAAGACTCAGGGTTATTTTGTGCTGCTGTGCAACCCACCCTGCCCCCCCCTCCCCCCCCAAAATATTTCTGAAGACCTGACACATTTGTCTAGTCTATCCTTGAAATACTCCCGGTACAAGGAATACTCTTGTGCAGTGTCCCCTGTTAGCGTGAGCTGTAAAGGGAATGCTTCTGCCCATGGAGAAGTCTGCTCTCCACTAATTTGCAGTCATACATACATTGAGTTATGACAGATATAAACCAGAAACTGAGTTGCATGACACTTGATACAAAGCTCGTTGTATAGGGAGCTCAGCTAGTACCCTGTTATGGTGCAGACTTAAGCAGCTCTCAGTACCAGACAGCTTGTTCGGTACTTCAGTGCTATGTAAGGAAGCACTGGTAGCACGGGTTAAGGAACCAGTCTCAGCAGCATTTCTGTCCCTTTTGAACAGCAGAGGACAGGAAAGTGCTGACGCCCTTTTGGCCAGTGCTGGTGGCTTAAGGATACTGAAGATGCTTAGAACGGGCCCTGTTAAAATAGGCCCTCTGAGAACTGCAGTATTCTGTACTTAAATTTGAGTATATGTACTTGAATTTTATACTTACAATAAGTTACATGCAAGTTATTTATGTTGTAATAACTGTTTTTAAGTATGTTTTGGTGTGCTACTGCTGTCTGAAGAAAATTAGCCTTTCTTAAACCTAACTGCTTGAAGGCAAGTGTTTGGGTTGTGCGCTTTTTTTTTTTCCCTTTTTAAACCTGAACAGATGATGACATGTATTGAGCACTAATTTCACGTTGTCTTTGGTAAGAATTTTGGAACCTATACCGACATTAAGAGGAAACAAACGTATTGTGGTAAGGATTTCAAGCCCAAATACAGTAATGGAAGGAATTACTTTGCTGACGAGAAGATAATTTTTATCCTCCTGCTTCTTTACGGCTTCCAGATTTTACAGCCTTTGGTTTGGCCCTGTGAGTCGTGAAAAGCTGCCGTAGTGTTGTGAAGCTAACTTGCTATATCACTTTTTTAGCTTTGGATAACAAATAATCTCTTCAAACTCTTCATTTTATGATGTGCTGTACAGTAAGCTGTAGGCTTTGAAGCTGCTAAAAATTTTGTTGTGCTACACAATCTGTAATGCTGATTTCTCTTTATACTTAGGCTGCTTCTATCAAAATAGAAGAAATTTGTTTCTAAAGTCTTCCTTCAAATACCTGGAAAACTAATATTCTGCTCTTGTTTAGCCTCTCTAATTCTGGCACTTGGTTGCATTACAGAAGATACAAAACACTAAAATCCATGAGGTCAGCAGCATATCATAAATTAAGGATTAAAAATAGTACATGTAAACTGTTTGCATTTCTGATATGCTTAAGTGAAATATTTAGAGCTCTTGTCTCTCCCTCTAGGTTTGTCTGTCCTGGAAATTTGCCTAATTATAGCTATGAAACACTTAAATGATGTTTATGAAGGAGAACCATTTAACTTCCAGATGGTTTACAATGGTGAGAGAAGTGCATTAACTTTACAAATGCAAGATCAGTTATTTTCCCCCAAGTAACCCTTTTTTTCCCCTACTGATACAGAATTTCAGAAGTTCATACAAAGGAAGGCCCATTGTATGTACAACTTTGAAAAGCCAGTTGTCATGAAGGTAAACCCTACATGTAATTTTTTTCATAAGTGACCTTGTATTTTTTCTAGCATACGCATTTAAATAGTCAAATACAGTCCTAAAAGTAGGAGTGGATGCTTCATGCTGAACAGAAAAATCCACTCTCGGAATAGACATAAAGTTGGGTATTTTGCTTAGTGCTGTGCTGCCCTCTGCTGGATAGTAGCTGTCTGCTGGCACAAGCAGCTCACTTGCCAAACGACCTGCCTAACATGGACTAGGAAGTTTAGGAAGAAGGCTGTGCTGGTCAGGTCGGTAGCTACTTGCAGGAGTTTAGTACCCAAACACTGTATCCTCATTTTTATGAAGGGAATTTCTGATGTTTTCTTTCTGAACTCAGTGATTCCTTGTATAGCAAAGTGCTTGTTTAGAAACAGTAAAGACTGAAAAGTGGGCTTAACTGGCATAATACTTGGGGTCAGTGAGAGAGACCATATCCAGAATGCCTTGCTCTTCCCAAAGAGAGCTTTGTGTCAATGTGTATGTGTAGGTGGCTTCAGCTTGCTTGTTTGATTCTGCTGTTTCGCAGTGATATCGCCAAAACTTCATGCATTAAAATTAATTAGTTTATAAAACCTGTCTTTCTTGATTTAAGTTCAGACTGGTCTGATTGGTATATGGAACTGAGGTGTGGTCTAGTATGGCTGTATTTGCCTAAACCAACAAATTGAAAAATACTGTTGGTTGCAAACTCATCCTCATTGGCCTTTTAGGCTGCTGGACTGCTAGTCTGTTACTGTAACTTTGCCTATCTTCTGTTTTGTGTTCTGGTATTAAAGCCTGTTGTAACATCTGTATGACTACCTCTTCAAATACCGTGCTAAGTTTATTAATTGAAAACTTAAACCTCAGGACCAGCAATGCAGTAGTCAAAATAAAATAGTCTTGCCACTTTTAAGCTGAACAGCCTGATTTCTGATTCAATGTTGTTTAGTCATACTTCAATTATTACAGGTGCCCAGAGAGCATGACATAATTTCTAGTTTAAATGTTCCAACTTGTATATCCACGAACAAAGTCTTTCTCTCTCCATTATATACACACACCCTAGAATAATAAGGAAAGCATACTTTATTCAGCTCACAGAGTGAATGTGCTTTGAACGCTATTCAAAAGGAAATGAAATAAGGTAAAATTGAGCTGGCACTTAATATCTCTCTGGGTAGCTTATCACAGGTCATTCAAAATCAGTAATATAGTGTGGGAGGATGTTAGTTTCCACTTCCTAATTACTTTTTGTTCTTTTGTTTTTAGGCATTTGAACATTTACTACAATTGGAATTAGTGAAACCTATAGAAAAACCATCTGTACGTGCTCAGAGAGAGTACCTATTAATGAAACTGCTTTTGGACAATAATCAAATCATGGATGCTTTGCAAGCATACCCAAACTGCCCAACAGATGTTAAACAGTGGGCAACATCATCACTGAGTTGGTTGTGAACTTTTTGAACCTTACTGTAATCACTACATCAAAACTTTTAGAGTTAACTTTCTGCTCTAGAAAATGTAGCACCACAGTAGAGTGTTCCAGTTAATAAATTTTTGAAAGAACCGTTGGAAGCTTTCCATTCTGTGCTTTGCTGATTGGTTTGGGATCTTAAGAACTATAATCCTCTTATCTAGTTGCCATAAATTAGATGAACTACTCAGTTTAGCTCAGCTCAGTGCAAACTTTGCTCTCACACGTAATTTTGACTTTGTAGAAGGACAATTGCTTTGATTTCTGAGTTTCTCAATCTCAGATTGGTCTCAAAACCTTAGCTACTGGTTCAGTGGCATAATACTGCAAAAGGCTGCAGGGTGGTCTCTGAAGCATTAATTCATTTCTAATGCACTTTAAGGCTGATACTCAGTGTCCGCCCCCTTCTCCAATGTGTGACTTGTGGGTTTTTTTGAAAAGTTTAATGAAGTTTTTCTATTTCAACTAGTTTCAGCTGATAAGGGATATTCTTGTGCAAAGTAGCATCACGTACCCCACCCATGCTCTGTCAGTACGGACTGTGTTACTCAGCTACTTTATGAATGGGAAGGAGCAGTGCTTTTAAGTCTGACTTTAAACTGCCTTTAGCAGACTGCAGAATACTTGCCTCATTGTATAGGAGCAGCTGAAAGAGGGTGACAGAGCTGTCTCAAAGTCAGAGAACTACAGGGCATTCCTGTGGAGTGAGCTGGGCTTTACAGGTGGTCTAGTGAAGGCTTGCCTCACCAGAGGATTATACATAAACTTCCCAATATACAGTAGGAGAAGCATGCTCCTTTCCCGTTAAGGGATCTCTTCACTTTAAACAGCATTTCCTAACACTATGGTACTGAAAGGACTAGCTGCTTCATTTCTCTGGAGCTCTTCCACCCTGCTTGATGACAGTGTCCTTAAATGGTAAGGGGCATGCTGACCTTTAACCCTCCTGTTTCATTTCAGAAAGGATGATGCAGAAACTGCTGGAATTTCTCTTTGCAGAAGGAGGAATAAGTTAACTCACTCTTCACTTAAAGTCTGATTTAAACCTAAATATAGGTCTGTGTGTTACATCAGTGTTTGATTTGAGTTATTTTTATAAGAGTTCATTAGCAGGACCCCAGACTAAATAGCTGGAGAGGAGCTCTAGGCCCAACCTATTGCTTGCTGGAATCAAGTTTACATACAGCTGAAGCCTCCTGCTGGCTCAGGAGTAAGTACATCAGGCTTTGTCCTGTAGAACTATGGTCAATGAGCTCAGAGCTGTGCAATTCAGAAGGAAGTCTGAAATAATTCCTTTGATTTGTAAATCACTGAGGTGATAATCCTGTCATGGAGATGATAGTCATTCACACACCATGAAACAGCCCATGCCATCTGTTCAAAAGCAGAAGGAATTACAGGACATCCAGGCTTGCAGAACAATGACATATCTTACAGGGAAGGGTTGATTAAATTCATTATACCAACACCTCCTTCCCTTTCCTCTCCACCCTTGCTCTGTCTCTTGGTCCTGTGAGTCTAACTTTTAACACTAGAAGCTTGATACAGGACATGATGGGGAAATCATGAGGGAGAGAGCATGCTTATTCCAACACTGGGAAATAAGTAACTGGAATAGTGCATGTGCTGATAAAGTTGTCATTTATACATCATTACTCATTAACCCTTGTAGGCCACACCCACAGATTGAAGTTCAATTTTTGCAGTCAGATCTCCTCCTTGTTAAAAGTATTATTCTTGAACCTACACATCTAGTATATGCAGGAAATAAGACTAATTTCTTGTTTCACAAAACAATCAAGAGCTCTGACTGCTTTGGCTTCAGTAGACGATCATACCGATAAAGATACAAACTGCAATGCCAATCAGTACAATAGGCAGGAAGAAAATCCAATTTTAATAGACTAACTGGTGCATCTTACCTGTGAATTTTATAAGAGTCTAGTTGATTGAATTTAACAGAATTTTTTAAAAGGGAGAGAGGTGACTTACTTGGAATGCAAGATAAAGAACGGAAGCTTGGCAGTCCTCTGAGTATTAGAAGACTGCGTGTTGCGCCACTGTACTGGTGCTGAACAACAGATCCTGCGGAATAGAAAGCTGCTTCCTTCCATCAGCTTCACTTTACCAGAAATAGGGCTGCTGTAAAAGGGGTTGCTTTGCAAGTCCATGGAAAAGAAGTATAAACAACACAGGCATTTGACTTGTCGCCTTAGTAGGAACGTTGGTTCCAGAGCGCAGATAGCACAGAACTACCAAATCATCAGCAGAACACCTTCCTGCCCTTGGTTGACCTGGTATCCTCCAAGTAGTACTCTTCATGACTGTGTATTGGAGCGCCTGTAATTGCTCCTGTAAAAGGATCTTCATCCTCTTCCACACACTACAGAGGTAAAAACTGTGGAAAGGAACTGCAAAATATCCCTTCGTGGCGGGGAAGATGGAAAGAGCAGAGTTCTGCACTGAAATGCCAGAGATGTGGATTCTGCCCTGGCTTCGCTTCCAAATTTAAAAAACAGCAAGGTCTTCCCATTCTCTTTTGCCATAAAACTTGTTAAGCAGCTTGAAAATTACTGTGTAAGTAGGAAACAGCTCTCCCAAAGTGTTAAAATTTGAAAAAAGGCATATGCAAGTCATAGTAGTCACATTTTTTATTTTAACTTTTTGGGGAGATAGGGGAGAAAGAGCATACATTTTTATTTGTACAATATTTAACAATCACTTTATTGAGGGCGGGGGGGTTGGTTTGTTTTCAGTACTTGCAGAAAAAACAGCAAGTACATTCTGACAGTAGTACAACAACCTGTGCCCAAAACACTGACAAATACAAAGAGTAAAGTTAAAATAATTGCTTACCAAAATCTTGAGAGGTAACGAATAGTATATGGACTGAAATTGCATTAAAAAAAAAAAAAGAAAAAAAAAAGTACTGCTGGTTGAGTATCTGAGGTAAATGATGTTCCATCAAGGATGCTACTTGAATCATTTTGTCCATAAACCTATATTACAGCTTTCCACATTTTGTACCAAGTGTTCCTAATAAAAATAAATGCATTAAGAAAAAGGTTAAAAAAGAAGCTGGAAAAAGAGCAAACTGGTAACCCTAGTTATTCTGTTGAATGCTAATATGAACAGGAAATGTCTGGTTACGCTTTAGTTAGCATACCAAAAGTCGGTATTTGAAAACTACACTGTTTTTTTTTTTAAATCTCAAATAGAAGGTACAAAGTGGTGAATTTCAGTCCTGATTTTGTAGTTTCACAACACCACCGTGAATGATACTGCTTGTTCAACAACTCCAACAACTACGAGGCACGGTCTCTGTTCTGCAACGCTACGGTACACGTGGTACGAGGTACAAAGAATGTCACGCAGTATGTGGTACAAAAACTCCTTAGCATCTAACACAATGTAATGCAGGGCTTAAACTTCTGGTGAAGCCAAAAACTAGCTCATTTATCAGTTCAGTGGCAGTTATACAGTAATCATTAAAGTAGTCTTAGACAGCTGAAAATTAAGAGCAATGGATTGGCTTTTCCTCATGAGCCAAAGTACAAGGTGACCCTTTGGAGCAGACTGTAAGTGCACGTACGTACCCACATGCTGTATGCCTAAAGTACATATGAAGTGACAACGGTCACTACATCTGCTAGTAAATAATGCCAAAATATTTCCACGAGCGATCTCACTTAATCCTGCCCTCGTTCACACTTGTAAAACGCTGGCTCAGGCATTTTGACAACTTGCACATTATCTCCATTTACTGCACTAGAAGTAAAACAAAAATGTATATTAACACGCCCTGCAAAACCGTTGTACCAGAACGGCTCAATGGATACTATTTTTACCAATTCAAAGGTGTTTATACTATGAACATCCTTTTCACAGTGATACTAATTTATGCTGCTAAAAAAAAAAATCAGAAAACTGAGCAGTACAATATTTAAACAATTAGGGATATCCAAAAGCTGTTTTAAAATATGAAGATAAATTATCTGAGGTTTTCTGATGCCAGGCTTAGTGACTGCTGTACATCATTTGCAGACATGAAGTGCATTAGCAACACCAACAGAGCCCACCACTTTGCTGCTAGACTCCACAGTAGCTGAAGTTTGAAGGATAATACACAGATGATGCAAGTTTTGCCCATGACCAATTTTTCTACCAAATCTCAAATAGCAGATTATTAAACCACCTGTATTTATTCTACTTTTGCTAGTAAAGGAGTTAAAACTCAATAGGAGACAGGAGTCTTCAGTAAAGTATGAATGGATTCTTATTTGTTCAGAACTCATCAGCTATTCTTATGTCCTGCTGTGTGCGTAAAATAACATCCCTGGATTGAAAATGGAAGCAAAATGAAAATGTCAATCCAAAAGGTAGCCACAGACTAGATTTTTTTTCTTTTCATAACCAAGCTGAACAAGTTGCACCCTACAGTACCAATAACCCTTCAGAGCAGGGTTCTTCTGGCTATGTGAAACCTTAGGCATAAAAGTGACAAACAGCAAGACAGACAGTACTGGGTGGCATACTACACACGAGCAACATTGCTATACCTTTCTTCCCCTCCCTGCTAAGAGCATGCTGACCTAGGTCTTGTTTATCCATAACGTCTCTTATTGTTCCCAGAGATTAAGTTCATATACACATAAAACTGAGTGTATCTTGTGGTTGTACAGATTAACTTTTTAAAGATAACATTCACAGTGAGCTCCTAATTGCAACATTAAAAGCTTCTTTCGAAAGACATCAAATGCATGGTTTAAAAAACAAACAAAATGCAATGATCACATACATAGCATAGTACTAGCTATTGTTGGTTCTGTACTCTAGAGTTTTTATAAAATTTACTTTGACATTTGCGTAAAGGTAAAGGATCAGCAAATAAATGTAGTGAAACAGTACTTCTGAAAAGCACTTTGGCACCTATCCACCAGTCAATTTCTAATTTAAATATAAGGCATGACTTCCTAAACTCTAAAATAATGTTGGAGTTGTGAAAGCAATTGCAATGTTTTTCCTTATTTTTTGCGAGTCTGTGCTACGTACATTGGTATTCGTTACCTCTAAATAGTCATTGCATATTTTAAGTTATAAGCATAACTAAGTTATCCCTGAAATTTTTAAGCAGTTATTATCTGAAATCTGTGGCTATAATTTTTAGTTTGATTCCAGGATAAACCTATGTATCACAGACATTAAATAGTACTCCGATAAGATGGCACCAAGCTTGAAGTAGAGTGAAGTTGCAAGTCTCAAAGCAGAGTAAGGAATTTGGGGTAACTGAGCTTCCTGAGGTGATCCTGAAACAGTGATACAGAACCCACTGCATACTGTTTAGTGAAACAGAGAACGCACTAGGCAGACCTTTTCACAAACATAAATAGGAAAAAGACTTTTTTTAAAAAAAAGAATAAGAGTTAAGAGCCTTCCAGTGTCATAGCTCACAGAAAATTAAAAAAAAAAAAAAAAGAGTCATGCTTAAGTTTTCAAATATTCCTCAGACACAGCAAACCTAAATAGTATTCAGTTAAATAAATGTATGAGATATTCCGGGAAATGGAGGTAAGAGAAAAAAATTAAACTAAAACAGGAAGAAATATTTTGTTTCAATAAACAGCACTTTTTTTTTTTTTATACACAACAAGCTAGTACATGAAAAAGGCTAAAAACACTGCTTTAGGAATGGCCATTTACTGTTGGCATGAAGCATAGCTTACCCTTTTTAAATAACACAGTGAATTTGAAATACATCATTTACAAAACATGGATCAATTTATTATTCAAATTTTGTTAGTGTTGTCAATCTCATAATTTAGCAGAGGTGGAACTGAGGTATACCTTGTTGAGGGAGGTTAAGTAATACTTGGAAGCCTCTTTGCTATATCCCACTTGATTACTTTTGTTTATGTACACTGAACAGCAGCACACTAAACATTCACAAGCTGTGTCATATTGGCATTACAATAGTCATTTTTATAAACAACAGCAAATGCAATAAAAACAAGTTACCCTTTTTTAAATCTGAAATGAAATGTTTGATTTAAAAAAAATAACAGTAGTTCATTTAAGGAATTAGTCTCTTCTGACAGACATTAAGAAATCTGATGTCAGTTTTTAAAACACTTGATTAGCCAGGATAGGTCCGTATTCTTCATTTAAGTTCCTTAATAACATGTTATCGTTTTCTCAGTCACATGTCCTTCAGGTGTAAGCAGGGAATGCAAAAAGTCTCATGGATCCATGTCTGGGAGGAGAGAGGAAGGGAAAAAATAAAGGAAAAACACCTCTTGATGATGTTCCAAAGAGACTTACCACTCTTTTCACACAGAAAACAATAATAACGTGAGCAGTCCCGTTAGCTTTAGCAGCTCCAGTTAAGAGTCCTGTTGGTCAGTGACATGACCAGTGCAACTATCATAGACTGGATTCTTTGGGAGGAAAGTCAACGTTTGTCACCATTGTGACCACAGTCACGATGTCCTCTGTTGTTATAATGTTAGTTAATTTTTGCATCTGAATAATGCGTTCTTCTACGCAGCCTGCTGACAACCTGGCTTCTGCATCGTGATCCCAACATTCCTCTATTGTTTCACAGAGCATTGCCATTCCCTGCAAGCAAACAAACAAGCCCAGCAATGAAGTAAAAAATAATAATACACAGTTAGCAGCAAGTTTTTATCAAAGCAGGATCGCCTAACAGTTCCTATTATCAAGCCGTGTTTTAAGTTACTTCTGCCAAATATTAAACCTTTGGCTGAACAGGAAGCTATACCATACTTGATTCGAAACCGAACATGTCATGTGGGGACTTTGGTCATACTTATTTTGTAGCATTTAAACAATATAGGCAACAGTGAACGCTGTAGTGAACCTTTTTCACTGCACAGTGTTGTAGTCTGTCAGTAAAGTCATCATGACCTTTTAAAAGATCTCAAGCTAGGAAAAGTCAAGTTTTTCCAATGATTAAATGAAACTTCATATAAAATCAAACAGCACAAAAGGAGTTTTGTTTGACAGCAGTTAACTTTTCTCCAGATTAACACTGACTTAATACAGCAATATGCTAATTACAAGTAGCAGATGGTCACATACACTCATTTTTCTTGTAGACAGAGTCATCTATTGTTTCTAACAACCCATTTTCTGAAAAAAGCAGTGCTCAGGATGAAGGGGTGGCGTTAGTGTAAATCTCGCGTTGTAAACCCAATCAGAAAAGCATGTTTTTTCTCCATAAACGATGCCAGAAATGTCTTACATGGCACTGCTTACCCTATGTAATTACATTCACTGAGATTTGTAGCATCTCTGGAATAAATCAAGACTATTTTTTTTTTGCTACAATTTTAACATACACTTTTTAATTTCAGAAATTAAACTCAAGAATCTCTTCTTTCACCAAAAATGTTTAAATACTTTCAATCACTTGAGCTAATATTTTAAAATAAAGATCATATAGCTTGCGGTCCATTTAATTAAGTCAAAATTCTTCCTAAAAGAAAATACCATGAACATGACAAGAAATTAACAACATTTGAAATTCAAAACATGACAGAACTTTGAAGAACTTGATTGCTTAACTACTTACAGAATGTTTTTGCCAACACTCTCGTAAAACAGGTCTCTTCTTTTTATGAACTACAACTTCCTGCATGTCTTCGAGGGAGGGATGCTGGCCAATTTCTTCTTCAAATGGCAACATGTACTCATCTACTGGGCCTGTAGATTAAAAAAAGTTTAAAAAACATATGTCACAATCACATATATTTGCTTTAGAAAAATGACTGGTAGCTTAGAATCATAGTCCGTCATCAAAATACTACAGAGTAGTTTACTTTGTGTTGCCATTAAAAGCTCATCCTATGACAAGTTAGCAGTAAGCAACATGACTAAGAGATATTTTAATTAAGACGCGGTGGGACTTCCAGCAGCTACGAGCGTTTGCCCTGCTGTGGGTCGCAGCCAAGCGCAGCTTAGCTCTGCCGGCGCTCACCAGACGCGGCTGCGGCCCCAGCACAGCCCCCTGCTACGAAAGGCTTCAAAATGCAAGGATAGATGGAAGCCCATGAAATCCAGTTTCTCCTCCATCTCCTCCAACAAGTCACAGCTTTGGTAAGATAAATTACTATCCTTTCATGTTTGTTTTGGCTCTCAAATACCAAGCAAGCATCCGATAGCCTCTTGTGCATGTTCTCAGTATCACACGTACTCCAAAGGCCGGGAGTCCGCAATACTAACTGCTGCATCCCTCTGCAGTTACTCTGCAATCCATATAGCTCAGGATGAAAGTACTTACGGTGAAGGCTAAGAGCAGTATCTTGTCCTTGACAGAATGAAAGGGATAAACTTTATATCCTGAGCTACAGATTATACAAGTATAGATTATATAATTATATGTTATAATACATCATATATTTCATGCTACCAGACTCAAGTTTAAAAAAAAAACGTATGCAGGAAGGGGAGGATGGGAGAAGTGAACGGTACGGTACAGGTGATAACGTCCGTTCCCATCAGCCGCAGCGTCCAGTGATGCTTACTCAAACAGACCAGGCAGCTTCTCAGAGAGATCTATTCGCAGAGACCTAAACCAGCAGTCCTGACAGTTACACCTAGGTATGACTGAGGAAGGCAGCGTTACTGAAGTGTCCTTTACTTTCTGGAATAATAATCACACCTGCCACAGACACCTACAATATACTCCTAATAAGATTTAGACGAGTATGTTTTACAGAACATTGAGGCAATGAAAAATTGATAAGGAACATGGGGCTACCTCAGAGATTTTGTGCAAGACTGTGTTGATCCTGTCACTACACAGCTAAAAATCTTTAAAAGGGTAAAATCTCCCTAGTGGTTTCTGCTTCAGGAGGAATATTTGAAGCAGAAGGCACTGCTTGAAGCAGAAAAGCACTGTGTGACCATGCATCGATGTACTAAGATCTCCAAAACATGTTGACTTTTTTTTTTATGGGTATTTTTCAGCTGCACTAGACTCTCACAGGAGAGCTTTATGACAAATCCTATCACTCTGCCAAGTGAGAGCATCACATTCGCTTAGCCGAATTTAGCTGTTTTTAAGACTGTACTGAAAACGCACTTTCTCACAAACATTTTTGAGCCTTCTCTTCTATCTTGTTCTTGATTAAGCCCAACTTAGTCTGGACACCCAAAAAAGGATTTAAAAAAAAAAAAAAAAAATTCGTATTTGAAATACTGTATCTGATACCTTTTCTTGATAGCTTAACAATAGGATCCAAGAGTCTGATTTTTTAGAAAAACAACTGTCATGGTCCCTTAGCTGACAAAGTATCAGAGATGATTTCTCAGATACTACTATATTTTCAATTTATAAGCTATAAGCAATTCATATGCATATCCCTACCTCCCAATTTCTTGCTTAATATACACTCTGAGAAATTACATCATATATTTCTGTAGATTAGATATTTTACTTACCATCTGAGGCAGTACATCGTGATGCCAATTCCCAGAGGACTAATCCCATGGCGTACATATCTATCCTCAAAAACGCATCCCGTTGGAAGTTTATAGCACCTTCTAGGACCTCAGGAGCCATATACCTTCGTGTACCAACCTTGAAAGACAGGAAAGCATAAACGTTCGTAATAATAAAAATCAACATGACCAAGATAAACATTCTGATCTAGCTGTTGCTATTAATACAGTACTGTACAATAGGACTTTTTTTTTTTCTCCCCCCCCCAAAGATTAAAAATAGCTATGATTCTCCTTGCTTAGGAATAAATCTTGGAGGTGCTTTGCACTCTAACAGTAGAAGGTGAGAGCAATTTGACGAATAACAATTTTACAGCTTGGGCCCTATATGTATATTTACGATTCTCATTTATATTTAGGAGAATCTGAAAATATTATTTTAAAATGATGTATTTCCATAACAATTTAATACGCTTATCCTTATTTGACACACCATTCCTTATTTTCTTCCAGACTGCAGGAAGGCCACTGGTTCTCACTTTTTCATGTCAAAAGGAGTACGTACAGTTTCACATGAGCAGACTCTCCATGACGGGAGTAGAAATGCAAAGAAAGGAAAACCAGCTACCGCATTGCAAGTTATTCTGAGAAAGCTGTATTAAATCACTCGCACAAATTTGTACATTAAATGGAAACTTCAGGGTTACCCATTTATTTTGGGTAACCACAAATCAACAGTGAAATGATGTCATCTGAATAAGTTGGAACATACGCAGTATCTAAGCAAGGTCCACTCCACTATTTACGCCTTCACCATAATAGCGACATTTCTTTTGAGCAACATTATTGAGGTTTTGTAATCCTACTATGTGGATTTTATTTTTGTCCTTCAACCATATCTGAAGTTCTTCCTAAAAGCAAGTATATTTAATTTTGCAGAAACCATAACGCACTAATGAGCTTGTGATGTGTGTGACTATGCAGTACTAAAAAAGTTACTTTGTATGGCGAGTATTTCACTTGGACTGTTTTCAGGAAACTGTTGCTAGGTCAGAAAGTTAGAAATTGGCTGCCAGTATCGCTACCCAATTTCTGAATGGTATCTCAGAACAATTAGTAAAAAACAGCAAGAATGCTTCTTCTTGTCCAAATCCTCTATTAAGAATGAAATTAAGAGGGGAGGGGGCCATGTCAAGAGAAAAGGCTGGGATCTGTAATTATCTGCGGAACTGCTTATTTTTTTAGCCTGTGAGGAGAAAGCCGAAATTGCCGTCTTAAAGGTCACAAAATATCGAGTTGATGATACAGCATCCGGTACCTGAAGCATGTCTAACTCATCGATTTTCATTTTCACACAGTTAACAGTTACATCATTTAGGTAAATTAATCAGTCTTTCTTTACCTGTCCATGTGTATCCCCTGCAGACTTTCCAGCCTCAAACTTTAAAGCTAGACCAAAATCAGCAATACAAGCTGTAAGATTATTTTTCAGCAGCACATTCTTGCTTTTGATGTCCCTTTCAAGTTAAGGGAAAAAAATTAGAAGCCTAGAACATGAAATATCCTATATAAAGTTCTAAGGAAAAAGTGAAATAATAAAGAATATCTGTAACTGTAGTAACATGAAAGGCAAAAACATAAACGAGTAGTCTATTTAAACAACAAAAGAATAATAACAAAAGTAGAAGTACAGTTGTAAACTTTTTTTATGCAAACTTATATGACTAATTGGAACTAACTTTATATACTTAGTTTTAAAATATATACGATTTATAAGCAAATATGACAGAAATAATATAAGTATGTAGTTATTGCATGCTTTCTTAATTACAACTGTGTTTTGTTTTTTAAAAAATAGGGAGCGAATCACTTCAAAAAAGGAGTTTTGATGATTTATAAGGAGATATATGATTGCCTGCAAAACCAAAAAATACTGGATTCCATCCAGATAGCCCCATCTGTCCTATGAATCCACGCTGATCCCCCACCCCATATTGCTATCAGTCAAGCTCATGTGCTCACAAAGTTCCAAATTTCAAGGGCCTTGTACTTCTTACTCTACGTGCCTACCTTTTATTTTGCTTACCACTATTATTTCAGCTCTCTGCTTCCATTAATAGCTTCCTATACCTACCTTATTTAAAAAACAGCAACTATACTCAACAATAGGTATATCATCACTTACAGTTAATGTTTCTGTCTGAAGGGATTCAGTATTATTTTAAAGTTAGTACATGAGTGTTTAAAATGTTTCAAATAGCTCTAATACCAATTACTTCATACAGTGCATAGGGTACTTAAAAATAACTATCTGAAAATGGAATTTATGACATTAACCATAATCATCAAACCAAGTTCTATAAACAATCAGATAGCTTCTTCTGGAGGCTGAGCACATCTTTCTTGTTAGGCTCTTTATTATTATGGAAGCAAGATCTCGCAGAGACTAATTATTTGAATTCTTCATATCCTTTAGCTCAAAGTTAAACATCAACAATCCTCTGAAAATATCTTACAAATACGGTACCTATGTGAGATGGCAGGTTTGTGTCCGTCTTTCAGCCCTGGTATATCCTCATGAAGATAAGCCAGACCTCTAGCCATAGTTTGAGCAATATGACACAATTCATTCCAAGAAACCACATTAGCCTTGAGAAAGTCGGTTAATGAACCCTGCACAGCAAAGAAGAAAAACAATTATAAGATAAATTTCACTCATCTACCCATTAAGAAAACCTCTAGATGGCCTCCATCATTAAAGAACATGATATGCCTGTTTGCCTTTCTCTGTTTTCTGATAGACCATCTAATTATATGCATGCATACACAACTTACCAGTAGTTTAAACAACAACAGCAAGTAACCTCAGCATCATCTCTGGTCCATGAATAGAAGCAAGATGCACCTACGTTTCAGCTCAATAACCAAGCAGCGTAATGAATTCAAGTTCAGTGGCACACTTGCCAGTGAGCTGCGCTTCACTGGAGATACCAGAAACAGGAGTCAGACTCACAAAAAATATTTCAGTCCTTTATGAAGGCAATCCTGCTTTTAGCAGGGTCGTTCATAATCTTGCGGGCAAAGGAAATTACAGGTTACAGATTCACCTTCAAGAATCTTGCTGAATGGTATATGCACATTCTCTAAGACCTTAAATTGTCAGTCTCAGAGTTTCTTATGGCTAATGACAGTAAATTCCATTTTCACAACATAGTTTCAGAGTGAAATACATACTCGGAATAAAGATGAAGAGAGAACGTGAAGTAAAATGCTAGTCAATATAAAACACTTCTCCTTAAACTCACTTTACACCCTTCTCTATGCACACGTTTTCATGGATTTAAATATTATGCAGTTTGTGAGATGTCACTCTGTCACATGCTACTGTGTGAAAAGCCAACACAAAAAGGAAAAATGAACAAAGCACTGTCAAAATGCAGACTAAACTTTGAAAGTAATAAAATCAACTAGTCATCTTAGATGTCATCTTTCTAACAGTAAGAACATTAAAAAAAACTCTTAGACAAAAAAACAAACAAAAAACTGGCAAAAAACCTTTCAGAAAGGCAAATTAGTTTGATATTAATCTACCCAATTGTGATGCTGTCACAAATTTCAAATAGTTGGATAGTTTTAGCTTTCTAAATAATGAAAGAAGAGGCACAAATGGGACAAGTATGCCAGAATGAACTGTACCATTCAAAACTAGAAATATTATCTATGACCCAGCCTTAATGCATTTACATATCCACGTTATGCGTCATCTTTCTAACAGTAAGAACATTAAAAAAAACTCTTAGACAAAAAACAAACAAAAAACTGGCAAAAAACCTTTCAGAAAGGCAAATTAGTTTGATATTAATCTACCCAATTGTGATGCTGTCACAAATTTCAAATAGTTGGATAGTTTTAGCTTTCTAAATAATGAAAGAAGAGGCACAAATGGGACAAGTATGCCAGAATGAACTGTACCATTCAAAACTAGAAATATTATCTATGACCCAGCCTTAATGCATTTACATATCCACGTTATGCCAATCTGTATTTTCTCATATCTGCTACAGGTAACATCTTCCTAACGCCTCTTTGTCCACACCAGTGCTAAAGTTTTCTTCTCCCCTGCCCCCAGTTTATACTTACACCACTGTCTCAGTTGCACGCATTAAAAGATCTAAACAAGTATTTCCTAATAAAGCAGTGAACACTTTCTTAAATATATTTATGGTTCTTATTGTGGTTCTCGCAACACAGTTCATACATATTACTTCCTTCTTTAAAGATTCAAATCAACTAATACAAGTAAAACAAAAACAACACACCATAGTCTCTGAGATTGAGTTCATTTAATTTAGGGAGACTTAGACAGGGGTGATCTTCAAAAAGACATATGATCTTTAGAGAGACTGATATCTAGTGAAATGACACAAGCTAAAAGCAAATGAAAACTATTTTAAAATTTTACTTCTTAATTGTTTAAAGTGCACATTTGCAACAAATTTCTAAGCTTGTTTGGGCACTATAATTGCAAAAAAAAAAAACCCCAAAAAAACAAAAACAAAAACCTCCCTACACCTCGTCTGCAAAACATACCTTTTCATGAAATGCTGTAATTAACCAGAGATCGACATCAATGCTAGTGCCTCGTTTCTCTGCGCCAATGAACTGCAAAATGTTGTCATGCTTCATGCCAGGTAAACTGTAAATTTCATATTCGTTCTGCCATGACTGTTTGTCCTTAAAACAAAAAATACAAACCAAATACCTTAATAATAAGAATCAAAGGTACTTTCCATGAAAGAAATTTCCTCCTATAATTTCCTGTGCACCGCTAAATGATCTGTCAATTGACTAAAACTTAATTTTTAGTAAGTTAGGATTTACTATCAAAAGGATAGATATAATATGAGGCTAATTATTTTAAAATAACAAATGCTTAGAGTAATACAATATTTGAGCTACAAACTACTGACCTAGCAGATTAAGAAATATGAAATATGAAAAAGGCTGTCTGTCTTCGCATATGTTACATATTTATGTTTAGTGGGAAACTGAAAAACTTAAATATGTTGTATTATTTGAAAACAACATTCAACTGTCAGAGATATGAACCATGGAAACAGAAAGCTAAACTTTACATACTGCAAATCGATACAGTGCTTTTGTTCTACAAAGAATGTTCAATTTTTTTATTTCATTAATCAAAAAAAATTCCTACAGAACTAGAAACAGGGATGTTTCCTTTATAAAAAGTAATGAAAAAAGCTTCAGAATTAACACATATTAAACTGATGGCTTAAGCCAGCATAAATGCAAGACATTTCTCCTAGAAGGAAAAGAATCGGCAGATATATTTATTCAGCAAATCAACACTTGGTTTATCATCAAAAAACACAAGTACATTTCTTCTTAAGTAGCAGTGAGTGTTTTTAATTATTATTTAACTGATAAAGAGATGTGCGAGAGCTGCAAATGGTATTTATATGCTTAAACTATTCACGCCAGTAAATATTTTCAGGGCTAGAAACATACACTGTCTTTGGTATATAATTTCACAGAATTTGTGTTTCACTAATCTGTTTTCTGCAATAAGTTACTTATTTTAATTCAGTAAATCACTACCTACACCTTTTCTGGCTGAAAAAGTTTTTTGCATTTGAGAATTTCTTTGAAATATCTAGAATTAGAGAATATTTTGAAAATCCTCTAAAATAAAAGAAGAGACAAGAAGATGACAAGAAAAGCTGGCTTAGATAACGGTGTTACAAATAACCCGTGATATTACAAGTAACATAGGACATTAAGAACTGTTTCCTACCTGAATAGGAAATATCTTGACGGCAACATACTCGTTTAGCAGCTGAGCTTTCCATACACAACCAAATCTTCCCCTAGCTTTGATCTCTAGCAACTGCAATGGCTTCAAACCCATCAGAGGTGAAGGTGGCGGTGGTCCAGGGTCCTGAAATAGGTTAATACTGTTAATTAATTTTGTATTACATGTGTTATCTATGATGACAGCACTAGAAATAAAAAGATAACAGAAAGAGACTTGGTATCATATAGCCACCCCCTGCAACAAATTCTCCCAAAGAAACCAGAAACAAAACCCACCAACCCCTCTAGACAGGAAGGGAAATGAGACTCTGAAACATGCTCAGAATCAATGTGCAAGTAACAGCATAAGAACAGTTACACAGCATAAAGCAGTCGCACCAGGTATAAAAGCACAGCAAAAATTAGGGAATAAAGATAACCAAGCATAATTTGCTACTTTTTAAGTGATAGAATTTAAGTAAGCATCTTCAAGTTTTGGGGTGGTGTTTTTTTTTTTTTTTTTTTTTTTTTTTTTTTAAAATTTCCTTTTTCCTTTTTTCTGAAACCCTTATTTGCTGAATCCATTAGTTAAATGGCTGGATGACTTGATCCTACACAGTCACTGAGCATCCTTAAACGTGCCTAACGTCGCAGCCCCTCAGCTGTCAGACGGGATGCAGAAGACGTCTGCACTAGCATTTTGGTTCAGGGCAGCCGTGCAGAGCTGGAGTGAACTCCCTCCCTGCCTCCTGGGTTCCGTCCTTGAGAGCTGGTCTGGTGCATAAGAGCCTGATGCCCTTGGAGGGCAGCTCTGCTCCAGCAACTCCACTGCTTAATGGGGACAGGAGGATGCAAGCCAAGCTGTAGGCAGGCCACCAACATGCCACCACTAGGCCTTCCAGTAGGTAACTACCATTTTTTCCACTCAGAGACCACTGAACCACATGCATAGTGGAGACATTTGGCACAGGAGACCCAACTACATCTTCTCCAAAGCCAGCCCTCCAAACCACAAGTTACAGAGGTGCGAAGAACCACAGCACCAGCGCTTCAATCCACTGATCCACTTCCATTGCGCCAACTTTTGCTAATGTAGACACAGTCAATACGTTACTAAAATGTGTGTATTTGGCTGTAGCACAGGGAACAGGACTGGAATCAAATTTAAGAGATTTTCTTGTTCTTTGTAACTTACAGTATTGGTGTTCTAGGCGAACAGGAACTTTACTGATGGGCTAAAAACATAGTAAAATCCCAACACTCCCTTTTCAAATATAACAATACAAGTTGGAATGTACAATCGCAAAGAGACAGAGCTACAAGGTTATCCATATAATAACCAAGCTAACTACAGATTTGAAGAATTTTCTTCTCTTTAGGAAAAGAATAAGTGACGGATTATCAAATCTCTTGTATTTTGCATTTTATATGCATCTTGCATATCCAGTATTATACACATTATCTGAACATAACAAGTAGATTTTCAACTCTGTTGCCAAAGATAAGCGTCTTTCTCTGTTGTCTTTTTCTTTCCAATCTATCACATTAGATTAGCTTGCATTTATGTAAGCTCTTCCCCTACCATGGTCACAAACGTCAGATCCACTTACATATGTCTCTGCAAAAAACAATATCATCTTTTTCACACAGTCAGAGAAGCATGACCTCTTTTGACTGATTCCTGGGTTTTTTTTTGCAGAAAAAAAGGTCAAGTTTTAGTATGGAGTGGTCACCCTAAGCCAAACTTGCCAATATTTTCTCCAAAAGGAACAGCTCCACCTTCCTTTTTTTTAAGCTCCTTCCTCCATCTCTTCCAGAGTTAGTTTAAAGCACGGTTTGTTCCCCAGTCCAAATTACGGTACAGAAACGTAAATGTCAAAGCCAGGGGAAGTGGTGACAGTGAGGGGGCAGACTGGCAGACTGCAGAGATGGGAAGAAGCAGAACTGCTGCTTTTAGTGGCAGCGCAGGTCTGTGGAGACCCCAAAATTGTAGCGCAGGCCTTGAGATTATATGTAAAAAGTCAGGTTTCTGCAGAAGTCCGCAAATGAAAGGCAGGTACTGCTTTAAGTAATATTCACACTACAGAAGAAGAGAAATTTAAGTCTACTGTTCAAATCTGAAATGTACATTTTGCTTTTCTACTTTTTCCCCCCGACTAGAAACAACTGTAAAGCTGTTTTCAAGAGAAAAACTACTCTAGTGTTTTCCAGTTTTTTCGGCAAAACAAGTAAGAGTACTCAAGCACGTGAGCGCTCCAGTTAGGATCCTAACAATTCTGTGCGCGTTAAAGACGTTTTCTAGAGAACGGTGGTTGTACACATACTTCACTGCTGTGAGAATGGAGACAAGTGCTTCTGTATCCAACACAAATTTTGAGTAGTTTAAGCACAGGAATACATAACCATACTCTTGTTTCTTATTAAACAATAAATAGATCCTTCAGAAAGAAGGATCTGTGGCCTCACAAACAGATTTATATCAGTTTAAGGAAACTGTAACCTAACTCCACTGAAATTAATACCTGTAAAAGGCATTTAGAAAATGAAGTTTAAGGATTAAGAAATCTTTTCTGACACAAAATTTAATTCTCACTCTCGCAATCACCAATACATAAAAGTTTTCGCTCCTGTGCTGCCTTGTATTCATTTTCAAAGCCCTTTATGAATATTTCAAACAGGGAAATCGCCGTCCTTGGTTTGCCATACTTACAATGGAGCAGAACTGGAAACAAGATGCCTTAAGTTACTTACAAAAGCCTACTTCAGCTCATTAAAAAACTGTTATTTTCAAGACTCCTGAGCACCGTGTATCATCTAGGGAGTTTTTTAAAAAAATAAAAAAAAGCTGTCTAATATCAAGTTTTGAATCTAGTGACCTGCTTAAATTAACAAAACTGTGGGAAGTAAACCCAAATCTGACTTTGCGTTAGGGATCAGAACCACCCCCTTTCCTTTCTAAAGGACAAAACAAAAAAAAATCCCAACTATCGGTATTTCTCGTCATGCTATGTGAATTTTCTTTACCATCAAGCAAACGGCCACTTAGTACTTCCCAAAGAGCCGATGGAAATGGCACCTATCCCAAGAGAGGGCGCAGTCAGTCATTCCCCTGCAAAAACTGGCCCCGCGGTGACTCGTCCTTTCCCAGTAAGCCAAATGTGATACTTTTCATATATCTGAATTCCACATCTCCTTGAAAATCCTGTCATTTCGAAATATTTTCCCATTACATAGCAACCTCCTGTGGTTCCCTCCATATTTCCTTGCTAGTTGAAACATTTTTATGAAATAAAACTCCCTGTGTTCTTATGAAGTAGCACACACATCCCAAAACAAATACTGTTTTGAAATGGCGAAGATATTCTGTCTTCTGTTCACATAGCAAAGAAGCTGAAATGCTCTTCTTTTTAGCTTTTTGTTAATAACAGTTTCGTCAAAATGAGCAGGCATTTATTCTCAGACTAAAAATCCTATTTTCGTGCAGAAACATCCCTTGACAACATTTCCAACTTACTCTACTTCTAAGTAAAAATATTAGCGTGCCACCAGCATAAATTATTCTCGCAAGGCTTTTAAAAATCACCTCTGTGGTGCCAGGGATGATGGCAGAATGGGAATAAAGGTGTAACGCAGATAGGTTAACCTAACAGCTTGCCCCAGCTGTCAGGCTGTACGGATGCCGATCCCCTTGCCCCGGTCTTCCCTGTCCCTTGGACCGACTCTGCTGCTTGTCCGAGCACACAGCACATCCAGGCAACATGCCTTCTTGGCAGACAGCTATTTATTTATTTATTTATTAAATCGGGTTAATTTTATGACAGTTTAGCAAACTGAAGCCGTTTACAACAGGGCCATGTCGACACAAACAGCGCTGCAAGGCGGAGGGAAGCGGGACTCTCTCGGGACCGCAGCAAGCCGCCAGCCCACGCACCTCGGTCCCGCGTACTCCTGGGGCCGAGAGATCCCGTCGGCCCTACCGGCGGCACAGGCAGCGAAGGAAACAGCAACCTGCCTGCTACACAACCATCGGTCACCAGATAAAAACCAGAAGCAGCTATGTCGGCAAAAAGTACCCAAGCTGACTGGGTCCTATCGCGCGCAGTACTCTGACGACTAAGCGCTACTCTTCCTATAGCTCAAAGCTATTAGCTCATTAAGTCAGTGCAAATTCAGACTGTACGATGATCTCAAAATCATGGACGTCTAGTCATGTTGCACACCGTAAGATCTTTCCATTTCAAACAGGACTTTCTGGTTCTGATTTTTATACCTGGGAGTTTCATTTCAGCTGCCAAGTAGCGCATACTAGTCACGTTGCATAAAGAAGAGAGAAAAAACCCATTTATTAAAGTTTAAGAACGGTAACTTTCTGCACTAGGTTGCCCTGTGGTGACCAGACAGGTTAACAAACATGAAATTGCAGATCCTTTAAAAAGGACGCCAAACTGCACAGTTTGTTAGAAAGCCTGCCCCAACACAGTCGGGCAGCCCTTAAGTTTATCTACAGTCATTTCTTTCCTATGGCAATTGAACCAGATGCCTCATCACGTATATCTGAAGAAGGTAAAAAAAGGTTCAGTCATCCAAACGGGTTGTACATAAACACATCTCCCTTTTCGGGCTCCAAAAATACAGCAGAAGCCCTAAAACTTTCAGTGCCCCTGCAAGTTTTTCTTTGTTAAACCGTGCATTATTTCTCCTTGGTTATATTTATTCGGCAGCTTATTTTGTGAATACGTTTAACAAGTTTTCATTTAAAGAGTTTGAGCGCTATCTCAGTTATTTTCTCCCTTTCTGGTTTGGGGCTGGTTTATTTTCAGCCAGATGATCTGTGCAGTTTAGATGCAAATACAGTAGAAGGAGTCATAACTTTAAAATTCTGTTATCTATTCCAAAATTGACTCTACGACTTAAATCAAGCTTTTAGCCTTTTTTTTTCCACCTGCCCCTCCGAATCTGAATTTTTAAAATGGTGATAAGTTTTCTCCTCTTCTTTCTTCCCGTAAGAAAATCCTGCAGATTTTACATTATATTACAAACACATTCGCCCAGTGGCGTATACATGGCAGTTAGTTGCAAACAGGGTATTTCTTCCCTAACTGACATTATTTCATTGAAGTGAAACAGTGACATATTCTAATAACTCTTTACTGATGCAAGATATTCAGGAAAATACTTAAATAGCAACATACTATTTTCTTCTAAATTATAATTGTGAGGCATTTCAGCTACTAAGTAGGGACCTATACAGACAATAAAAACTGAGTATTCACTACAACTCAAATCTTGACTTTTTCTATATTCACTACCACCCCCCTCCCACAGAGGGGCTTAACGTTTCTCAATGAGCAGTTTTAAGTTACTTGCAGTTTCACATGAACTATCAATAATTTAATAGAGATAAAAATCACTTCCGGACAGGGAGAGAGTCAGAGTAGAGACTTAAAAGTGACAGACTGTTTCTCCTCAGTTAATCTACCTCTCTGAGCCTCTGAACCACCACAAAAAAAAAA